TGTTTAGGTTTTGTTTTTTTTCTGGGGTGCAAGACATGGTTTCTGTCATTAGTTTAAGTTGCAAGTCAAGGAAACGTACAAAGATCTTGTGTAGTCTAATTTGGAGGTAGAACTACTAAATTTCAGTAAAGTCTATATCATAATTGTTGCAATGAGGGCATTGATGGAAAATAGTATGAAATGACTCATTTCATATGATTTCATTACTCTTCCCAAATATCATTACTAAATTGTATAATTACATTTTCCAAAGCCTTGTCTGACACCCTACAGTCCAAGACTAGGCATCAAATGCTTCTGGGAAGAAATGATTCCAACACTGTACATAAGTTAAGAGATTAATTACCACAAGGCAGGACGATGACTCCAGATCGAGCTCTGCCGTTCCCAAACATCTTCCTTAGACTCTTTTCCTGATATGGTCTCAGCACAGCAGTGGGCTTCAGGTCCATGTTGATGTCTGGGTTTACCGTGTCGTTACGGAAATCATATTCAGCCAAGAGAGGATATTCTAACTGAATGCAACGTTTCTGAAGCTCCTCTATCATTTCCTAACAAGTGCCAGCACAAATAGGAAGAAACAATTAGATTACTGTGCATGAAATCTTCACTGAATAACCATTTGAACTAAGCCAAGCCTGTCAGAGGAACAGTCAAGGTAAATTAACCCTAAACTCACAATGAAGTAACATTCTCATTCACACACCTGACGGATCTCAAAAGACACTGTTTGTGTCTCTTCCTCCTCCTCCTCCTCTTTGTCCATCTGCTCGTAGTAACTGAAGATGTCCTCTGGCACCTGATTTCCTGTGCACTGCCCGTCTGCAGGCTGGGAGGTGGATGGACCACCATTGTCCTGCTGAGACTTTGAGATCTGGACAGGACGATGGTACCAGAAATGGGCCTTAGTTTTGCTCCACTGTAAGTGTCTTAATGTTTCCACCTAGACAACATGTTTTGTGCTCATACTTACTGCAGATTTGCTAGAGATGGTCTCAGTGATGAGCTCAGTCTCCTCACCCTCAGCAGACCGAAGACGACAGTCCCGAATCACTGTGTCCTGTAAGAGCCTCTGAATGACATCAGGGAACGCACTCTCCACAAAGTACCTGTTCTCAACACACACACACAAACTTAACCATCTGCACTATTAATGCCATGTAGTTGTTGCAGTGTCTAGTTTTTATGAACTCACCAAAAAGTCTGTGGTCAGTACAATTTTTATACTTTTACATAGCAAGTCAAGGATGCATTAAACTGATCAAATGTGACCCTGGACCACAAAACCAGTCATAAGGGTCAATTTTTCGAAATTGAGATTTATACAACATCTGAAAGCTGAATAAATAAGCTTTCCATTGATGTAAGGTTGTTAGGATTGGACAATATTTGGCCGAGATACAACTATTTGAAATCTGGAATCTGACTGTGTAAAAAAAAACAAAATATTGAGAAAATCGACTTTAAAGTTGTCCAAATGAAGTTCTTAGCAATGCATATTACTAATCAAAAATTAAGTTTTGATATATTTACAGTAGGAAATTCAATAATTTTGACCCATACAATGTATTTTTGGCTACTGCTACAAATGTATCCCAGCGACTTAAGACTAGTTTGTGCTCCAGGGTCACAAATGTGGCAATAAAGACATCTACAATGTTACAAAAAATATATATATTTCAAATGAATGCTGTTTTTAACTTTCCATTTATTAAACGATCCTGAAATAAAGAAAAAAAAACAAAATAAATCCACAAAAATATTCAGCAGCAAAATCCTCCACTAAGTGTTTAAGCATCAGATTAGAATCGTAAAATGATTTCTGAAGGATCATATGACAGTGAAGACTGAAAAATAGCATTTAAAAAAATATCAAAATAGAAAACGGTTACTTTTAAATTGTAATATTTCAATATTACTGTTTTTACTGTATTTTTGATCAAATAAATGCAGCCTTGACACTCTTTTAAAAAACATTTTACAAAAATCTTACTGAACCGTAGTCCACAATAAACAATTAAATTTCACCATTAAATTTACATTTATGCTTCTGAATCAAGTACATGCAATCTTAAGATTCAAAGCTAACACTTCACATCCAAGTTCAGCTGAATCCAAAGAGTATCCCTAGCCAAACAACACCTAGTCTCGCGTAGCCAGACCTTCAGACTGACGGCTGAAGGTGTGGAATCCATGGCAGCTTTCATTGGCCAAGGCCCGCCCATGAGGCCGTTTGACCGACATGTCAAACAACCAATCACAGTTCGTTTCAGCGTCACGTTTCGGGGCGTGGAAATGTCGCCACAATAACAGACCGGTGTATTTTAAAGATTCTGTGCCGCAAACTTTAAATATTTCACATACTTTTGAAAATCCAGTTTAGTTGATCCTGATAAGCGCTCATTGTCACAGTTGTAAACGCGACGGCTTTCTACATTCGTGAGGGGGTTTGGCGTCACGGCATCTTTGTTTCCAGGCGGAACCTTATAGAACGCGACACACAAGTCTCCCGGAAATCCTGTATAATTCAACCAATCCGATGACGACTTCGAAACTCCTGAAGTGTTTCCACTTTTGTGTGCCGTATGCATCAGCATTAGCCAACGGTCCGTGGGCGTGACGTCTGAGGCTGAGACTAAACAACACCCAACTTCCTCTTATCTAAATACTATCTGCTATGCTCAAAACACCACCAGATGTCAGAACTAACATCTAAAACATTCAATAGACCATAAGTGATATGTAATATTCAATATACAACGTGCTCATACATATCTAATTATTTAACCTTTCTTTAGTAAGAAGTAAAGAAAGAGGAATCTATGTAGAACGAACTGACCTGTTGTGTTTCAGGACCAGTTTGACTTTACCGTAGCTCACTGTGCACAACTGCAGGAGAACAGAGAGAGTAAAAGAGTGGCTTTGATATATAAAAATTGTAAAAAAAAAATATATATATATATGTTACATAACATTTATGCATTTAGCAGATGCTTTTATCTAAAGTGACTTGCAAATGAGAAACATGCAATTCAACAAAGAGTTGTAATACACACTTTTTTGGAGTGTGAATGTGCAAGTGCATTGGTTTAAGAGTATGGAATGGTTCCCACAATCATGGTTCACACAGACTTCACTTCCAACACACACACACACCTTTATAAACTGCACTATGCCGTCTGGCACAGAGGTCTTGCTGAGTTTCTGCAGGTACTCTATGATGTCAGAGGTCTGCAGGCCGACACTCACAGCGGCGTATAGAGAATAAGCCGTCAGCTTGTACTCGTGCACATGGGTAGGTCTGCACACCGGCTCTGATATGGCCACCAGGAAGTCCTGAGCGTATTTATACACGGGAGAGAAAGCCTCTAGGAAGATGTGACCATCAGGAGCCTACAACAGTCAAACACATACATAAAGGGATAGTCGTAGCTTCTGTTGTAACTGCCTAATAAATCAAGGATCTTTAGTCTTACCACCCATAGGGGCCGGGAAGTGTGGTCATTCTTGAGAAGCATCTGTAGTCTGTAGTCTTTGGCTCCATACTCATCCAGTTTAGTGCTGGATTCATCCACCTGCTTCCCAGCAGCTGCTGGAACAGCCTCCTGAGACTCACTGCCCATCACCTCTTCATCATCCTCTTCCTCATCATAATAACGTTTCTTGGACTTTTTATCTAAAGTGAAAAAAAAAAACCAAAAAAACACTTAAGCGATTTTAGAAGATCTGGTTATAGTTTAAACCTTGTCTGTGAGTTCCAAAAAAAGAACCTAAAGACCTCGCTGGTCAGGTGTTTTTAGCAATAGTTTAAGTTAATAGCATTTAGAAACAATATCTGGATCTAAACTTTAACATAATTTTACAAGGAGTGTCTATGATGTAAATAATATACTTAAGAATATTCTTAAGTGCGACTGTGAATGTAATGTGAATGTAACAATTATTTTTTATTAAATGCAGTTAATTGAACCCACCCAAGTATTTCTGTAATTTCATAATTACTAATATTGTCATTGAAATATGATTAAAATGTACTGCTGAATGCACTGACAAGCATTTATAGTAAACTAAAATGTAACTTCTGTTGAAACTTGTGTCATAAATTTTAATAACATTTTAATTACACATTTGCAATTATAGTACAATCTATTACATTTAAAATAACTTTAAATGTAATATCAAAAACGAAGTTAAAATTGTAATCAAGTACTTCACATGTATGTTGTACTGAACACATATAAGTGTACTTCTTCAAAGCATGACAAAAGATCATCAAAATATAATGACTTAAGATGCAAAGTAAAACTTTTAATTGGACATTGCAAGGTGTACTTACTTTCTTTAAGCACCCTTAAGTGCCGTTTTATTTCATTACAACTATATTATCTGCAAGTATGTTCTTTATTAGTGTATATATACACACAATCCACCTTTATAATATATTCACTTTAAGTACACTATAAGTGCAATATAAGTAATGGTATTTCATTTTCAAAAGGGAATGGAACAGGATTGAGCACTCCTGATTTAAGAGTCTGTTTAGATGTATGTATACCATAATGTTTATATGATATTACTTTTGAACAGAAATAAGCTCATGGTTATCTTTAAACCATAATGCCTTTGTAATGGTTTCTGCTGCATTAGTTAAACACGGTAGATAACAGCAGATCTTGCATGGTCCATCAAACTTTGATTAAATTGTGTTTATTTCTAAAGCATGGCATCCATCTTACCTCGAACACTCTTATCTTTCTTCCCCATGGTGTCAGCCCTAAAAAACACTCTCCTGTTGTGAATTCAGTGGTGGTTTAACACATTTGAATACAAAAATTGCAGGATAGATTAGGACGTCACTGCTGCAGCGGCCATGTCCAGCACGCTTTCTCTACGGATAAACCGGTTGAGAAATGTAAACTAACCCAGAACTCTACCGCCACCTGCCGGCTGGACGTTCACTGACCGCTCTCGAACTGGCGCGAAATAAAACACATTCTCCATTTTAACTGTAATTTAGAATTTATTTCACTTCAGTACAGTCCCGAGATCAACATTATCTGGAACAGTATCATATTTAAAGACAGGACGTTATGCGTGAAAGAACAAACAAAATATATCATTTCAAATTCAAAATTATTAAAACTACAGAACTCGTCACAATTTACCACACAACTAACCAACAATTGAACAATTTTAACTTTTATGATTTGTTATGAAAAGGCAACAGAGTAAAAACTGACACATGACTGGTTTCAGATGCTGTATTGAGCATTAAACACTGAATATCACTGTGAACAATAAACATAAGACTATGTGCCTTACTCATAAAACATGAGCAGAACTTATTGATTTGTGTGTAAATCATCGGTAAACCCGTTATGTAAATTGTCACATTGAATGAGGTTGGATGAGACCTAATTCATTGAACAGAAGCTCATCAAATTAGAGCAAATGATTCTTGAAACCATTCATTCATATGTAAAGCACTCCAATGAACTGAATGTGACAATGTACATAAGAATAGCTTTACACATGATTTGCACAGCAATTTGTTCATGAACTATGTGTTTGTCTCTCGTAAGGCTGTGAGGTTTTGTTGTATGTTTGTAGCTGGTTCATAAAGTAAGAGTTTGTTGTTGGTTATAAAGTAAAAGTTGATGTTGCTTATGTTCCCAATGACGATTCCAAAGTAAAAGGACAGCTGGCACCAGAGAAGACTGTTCTACGCTCCTGCATCCGAGACACATGCCGAGTATCTGTATGTGTAGAGTTTGTTATCTGCTCCTCCACTCAAAATCAGCTAGAAACGAAAGCAGACAGAGAAAAGAAATTGTGATAAATCCACAGAAATATACTTCAAGTTTACTCACTTTTAAAGACCCCATGAAATGGTTCGGCATACAGTTTTCTTTACCGTGTTTTCTATTGAAACAGGAAGTAGGTATAGGACAAATCCTTACAGACTAATGGTTCTCAACCTTTTTGACCCTCTTTTTCCAAGACAATATTTAAAGGCCCTCATATCTAAGCTGACAAGTACTTCTGGTTGTAATAAAAACACATAAACTCAAAACTATGATGTCATTTCAAGATTTAGTGTTATTAACATTTTAATTAAGATCATGTTAAAATAAGTAAATTGTAAACAATTTTCTGACTTACTGGGAATTTGTTGAGGACCCTGGTTGAGAACCATTGCCTTGTACTATGCCTAATTAAACACTTTCAAAATAACATATTCTGGGCATTTTACCATAAACAATTGTTAGGCGTGCAAACCAACAAATAATTTTATTGTGACTATAGAAATTGCCAGGAGGAAGCAAGCGCTATTCATATCTTAGGGAGACAAGACATTGCCATTCTAGAGCACATTTTATCGGTCCCAAACATGCTAGCAGTGTGCTAAATCATGCTAGAAATATGCTAGCATTGTGCTGAATCATACAAGCAGTCCTAAGTCATGCTACCAGTGTGATAAATCACGCTATACAACATGCTACTTATGACATAAAACATGCTAGCAGTGTGTTAAATCATGCTATCATGCCATCTTTTTAAAATTTTTGGAAGTTTTTTTAAACTTTCAGGCTAGGCTTTCCCAAGCCAACATCAAAGTTTGTCTACAATTAAAATGTTTATCGCACAGAATATTAATTTTGATGTGAACAACCCATTTGATTTCTTGGCGTATTTAACAGTGCTGGTAAAACAGACAAATATTTGAATGGTTTGTCATACCCCATTCTCTGTCCAGTCAACGCACATTACTTTGTCTTCATGGGCAGCAAGATCATACAGTGGAGCTTTACAGCTGTAAAGCAGAAACCAGGACTGTTAGGGACAGACATGTGGGAACAGGATGGTGTTGGGTTATAATGTATCTGTAAGTCGCACACCTCCTTGTGTCCCACAGTTTGACCACATTATCTAGAGATCCGGACACCAGCTGATGCTCGTGAGATGGAGACCACCTGACTGCCGTCACCCAACCGTTATGGGACGTTAGAGACAGGAGAACTAGAGAGCCGTCTGGACAAACCGAGAGATATGAGCAATGACAATACCTTAGTATGAAAGGGCATCATTATATGGGATCTCTGATAGTGACCTTTAGATCTTGGGTCCCATAGACGCACATGTCTGTCGGTGGTGCCCGAGGCCAGACGGCGACACAGTGGAGAGTATGAGATACAGTTGAAAACCTTACTGCCCGTCTGCAATGCAAGAACATCAGTCTGTAAACCCAACAGTCCTTAAAGGTAATGCGTGTATATTTTTCACTTCTTAAAATACATTCTCCTGACCCAACTTAATATGCAGAGACTAGTAGTAAGCAGAAAACACTGTGATCAGCCCAACAGATCAACAGTGGCTAAACCAATGGTGTACAACTTTCCGTTTGTCTGTCCAGTGGCAGAAGGGGAAATTTTCAGAAACAATGTATGAAAACAGTCATTATTTTATGCTTGGTGACACCAGTGGTGCAAAAACTACACACTTCACTTGTCCAGAAGCCCCACCCATCACAATAATTATAATAATTATTACAAAAATTATTATAATAATTAGTAGTAGTATTATTATTCAAATTATTATTTATAAATAAGTAAAAGAGACTAAGTTATAAGTAAAAATGGAAAAAAGTATCAATAATAAGCATAAACTGTTGTTTATAATTATTATTTATAAATAATTTATAAAATACATGTAACCTTTAATATGTTATTTATAAATTATTTAGAAACAACAACAACAACAATTACAATTATTATTTATAAATAGTTCATAAATAACATTTGATTATGCTCTCCTGTCCACATCTGTGACACAATGCAGACACTAGAGAACTGAAAAATGTTATAATATGTTCTTAGAGGGGAAAAAATGAAATCACTTTCACACAAAAACAAATGGATCTAATACTATATTTCTATGATGAACTGGTGTCACTCACTATTGCATTCTTCTGTCCACCAGTCTCTGCATCCCATAGACGGATGGTGTGATCCCATGATGCACTGCACAGCTCCTCAGCGTCCATCCAGAGCACAGAGGACACTGCCTCATTATGACCAGAGAAAGTCATGAGGGGAGTCTAGAGCAGAATAACAAGAATTTATAAAGCTGCAAAGTGTTAATTAATAACAAGTGTCCTTGTGTCAAGAGCATGCATAGATACCAACCCGCGTGAGCCCCATCTGCTCTGTTTTCTGTTTTTTGCGAGGCCTGTTGGGTTCCTCGATCTCATCCTCTTCCTCTGTTGGCACTGAGGACAACAATAATACAAGTCAGCTTTTTTCTAAAGAATTACTTGACATCATTTCATTGCTTTCTTTTTTGAAGGTGGATGTTTATCTTTTATCTTTCTGAATTAAACATCTCATTGAATGTTCTAAAGAAAACATACCTGCTGACCATATCTTAAGCATTTTGTCCCATGAGCCACTGCAAAACTGAAGAGAAAACAAAACATTAGACATACACACAGTATGTCTAGCAAGCTAAATGTATGATGTTGTTTTTGGTTAACATTAGAAAAGACAAACAGACAGAAAGAGTAGCAAACACACAAACCTTCGTCCTAGTGGGGTCGACAGCAACTGTGTCTACACTTCCCGCGTGTCCACGGCAACAGTGTCGGGCCTTCACTTTGTTCCGTTCGGAATTCCACTCCCATAACATGATTGTTTGATCCAGAGATGCGGACAGGAGCAGAGAGCTCAGACCATCTAGAAGCCACAGAACCATCAAACAGAAAAAGAACTGACAAATTCAGAAACCTAATGCATCATTAGCTCTCAGATTAACACTCATCAGATTCATACAAATTACATTAGGCATCTCATACTGTAAAGATTCTAACCTCTCTTCACCCAGGCTACATCCTTCACAACATCAGTGTGTCCAGCCACAGTCATCACTGCCTTCCCTTCCATAGACCAAATCCGTGCAGTCTTATCATACGAGCCTGTGAGGATCCTGGGATTCGGGCAGAGGAAATAATTTTATATATCAGCCACAAAACTGTCCAAGCAAATTGATTGTGACTTCTGTTTAGTTTTGCATGAAATGCACCATTCAGAATCTGCCTCCACCGAGCTGATCCAGTCATCATGCATGATACACTCCTCTGGCTGTGGGGCTGTGAACTTCTCAACATATTCTATTTCCACCACGTCTTCCTGTAAACACACACATACAACACACTTGAGCATTTAACCAAACTGCAAATATATTTTTGCAAGTTGAACAGATTCACTGTTTCACTTTCATAGCAGTTTAACCATTAAACACAGCTTGAAAAGAGTTAAACAATTGCACCAATTCATATGGATTACTTTTACGGTGTCATTTTTGTTTACAATTTGAATCTGAATCTACAATCTGAAATAACAGGTTTTTTTAACTGTAATACATTTTAAAATGTAATTTATTCCTGTTATGGCAAAGCTCAATTTTAGCAGCGATTACTTCAGTCTTCAGTGTCACATTATAAGACAGAAATCATTCTAATATGCATATCTGATGTTCAAGAAATATTTATTTTATAATTCACAATGTTGAAAACAGTTGTCCTGCTTATTATTTTAATGTTTTTACACATTTTCCAGGATTTTTGATGAAGAGACCATTCAAAAAAACATTTGTTTGGAAATAGAAATCTTTTATAAAAATGTTGAGGCAATATTAAAACAAAATTTTCATTTGAGTTCCAAAGATAAACAGAAGTCTTACAGATTTGAACAACAAGTGGGTGAGTAAATGATGACAATTTAAATTTTTGGTTTAACTAATCCTTTAAATTCAGTCTTAAATAGTCTGACTGAAACAATATGTTACTGTCAAGCAATCTGATTGGAGCTTGTAATTGTTGTGCGCATAATATGTCAATGAACAGACTGTAGGCAGTCCATAGATGTGTGCTGGCGAGACTACATTAAAAGCATTGCCATACCGTTGAGATGTTCTCTGTCTCCATGCGACTGGCCAGTGAAGTGCGGAGAAACTGACCTTGAACCAGGAAATCAAACTCAACATGTTTGTGTCCATCTGTAAAAAGAGACATGAGTGATGTGAATTTAATTAAATGACAAATAGAAGGGAAATATGATCAAGCACGGCCGCTCCAAAAGTCAGAATCTGGGGCTGTATTACAGAAACATCCTAACTTGAAATCCCAACCCATCCTATATGTTTAGTGACCATGGTCATTTCATTGAGGAAATGAGAATATCAAGAATTAAAGGGGTCATATGATGCTTTTTTAAAGATCATTATTTTGTGTATTTGGTGTAACAGAATATGTTGACATGCTTTAATGCGTTTCTGTATCCTTATATCAATTGCTGAACATTGTGAAGTTACACAATGTTTAGAAAATTATTTTTAGTGTTATGGTAGGCAAGTATGCTGCAACATAACAAGGTGAAAACACGTGATCAAAAAGAATGAATGGTAAACAAGCTGACCATTCTTAGCTTCCAGCAGTTTGTTGATGACAGCACTGAGGTCCGTCACCTCCGAGGCAGCAGGGATGGAGAATGGAACATCATCTATTAGATACCTACAGAGAAGAGCATGAGGAGAACATCTTACATCTAGTACAAACACAGCCTACATCTGCTTATATCAAAAACTGTTAAAAACCCACATCATTTTGAGCACAGCTTATAAAGAAACGACTTTCACTATATAAACAAACACTATGAATACTACTAAGCAAAATCAGCTGGATAGCTCATATCTAGCTAAGCTAAACGTTTCAGCTGTTTGTATTATGCACACCAAATATACTCACTTTTTGTTTTCGGTGAAGAACCGGGCCTGTACCTGCGACATTTTATCTTATTAGACTGTAACTATTAAGAAAACACATGTGATTACTGGCGAACTTCACTCTGTATGGAGCCCCTTTGCCACCATGTGGTACCCAATGCTTGTGAATGAAGACGTGACAGTCGATCACAGAGCAATCGATGGTCGACAAATGCGCTTGCAACTGTTTATGTCTGAGTTGGGTTACATAGGCCTACTTTGAAAATATAAAACGACTTGGATTTCCAGTGAAAAGACGGTATAAATTTGGTAGAGTGTGATTGTTGCAATGCAGACCCATTTTAAAATAACGAGATGCTGGACAATGGAAATGTTTTGCTGCTCTCCCCTGCTTCTCAGATGTTTTCCCGGGAAAAAAAAGAAAAAACACAAATAGTCAAATGTCTAGAGTTAGAAAATAGATCACAATGTCCGAGTGAGACAGTCTCACACAGTACTCAGATTTACCCAAATCCACATCCCAAAACACTTTCACCTCAAAATAAAGAAAACAAAGCAAGAAACTACATTTTACATAAAAAAAATTAAACATATTATAAAGGTCATTAAGATATTTTCAATGAAACATTAAGTAGATACAATCCTGTCCCAAAACAGTTTTGTTGTTGTTGTTTTGTTTTGTTTTGTTAGTTTCATTACATTCTCAGTACTCATATAATATATGTAATTAATAAAATATGTAGCCTAATAAAGTGTAATAATCATGTCACAATTCATGTCACACATATGCACTGGTTTACATATTTTATGGGGACATTCCACAGACATAACGGTTTTTATACTGTACAAACTGTATTTACTCTCCTCTAACCCTAAACCTACCCAACACAGAAAACGTTCTGCATTTTTAGATTTTCAAAAAATTTCATTCTGTATGATTTATAATCTTGTTGCCTCGTAGAGGCCAAAAAAAAAAGAAAGAAAGAAAGTCCCCATAAGGTATTCCTATCCTTGTGGGGATGTTTGGACCCCATAATGAAGGGAATACCAGGTACGCACACATATACTGTATACTATCAAATAAGTAAAAATTAAATTAAAAATATTTTTTAAAATGGGCCAAGCCAAAAATAGCTAAATATTTTGCTTACAATATTTTGTCCATTTACAAATTTAACCACTAATTACTGGTCACTTCTCGGTTGTCTTTGCAGTGAAAAAAAGTCTGATCATTCCTCTTTAGATAACAATTTTTCAGTCATGGGAAGCAAGCCATTTTGCAATATACTCTTATACTCCAAAGCATTAACAATGAAACAGCTCACCAGTACCAGCAGGTGAAAAGGCTCCCCCCCATCATAACACATCTTCCTCCATGCTTCACAGTGGTAGAGATGCATTCATTATTATATTTCTCACCAGACCTTCAAAGACACCGCTCTGGTGCATCACCATGCAGCTCATGTTTTATCGTGATTCATCACTCCACACAATTCTGCTGAACCACTCTGAATCAAACTTCCCATATTCTGTCAAAAAAAATTCATGGTGATTTTTTTTTTTATTCCAGAAAGCAATGGCTATTTAAGAGTGCTTTTGCTTAATTCTTGCTAACTTCCTTACCAGTTAATTGTGGTTAAGGCCATTAAAAGCTAAGTGTTTAGCCATTTGGATTGTAGGATTGTATATATATATATATATATATATATATATAAAGAGCTTTTTGTCACTTTAATCAGTCTGAATAAGCTCTTTTGCACTACAATCATTATATCTGCACTGTTTGTTTACTTAACTGGTTTGCACTCTATCTGCCATGTGCCTTGTGCTGCTTTATTTATTTTTTTACATGACCTTATTTGTATATTTGTATAGTTGTATTTTATATTTAATCTGTATCTATCTGTATTTATGTTCTACTGTTAGCTAGCTGTATGCACCAAGGGTCTGAGAGTAACGCAATTTCAATTCTCTGTATGTATGTGCTGTACATGTGGAAGAATTGACAATAAAGCAGACTTGACTTGACTATATTTATATATGGTCCTAAAATGCTCACAAAATTAGAACAATATAATTTTGTTTGATTTTGGGGTGACATGTGATTTTTTTTGTGATTGCCCTCATGCTCTTATATATGTTAACAACTTTTTCATATTTAATTCTATTGTTATTTTCTCTAAGGAAGAAAATAACATCAAACCAAAACATGTGGTATATATGTGAAAATATGTGTATATATCTTCAGCTATAGATAGATAAGAGAGCAACCTCTGAGCAAAAACATTTCCTTTTTAGAAGTAGCTAGTATTTTGAATATTAGACTAGACAGAACTTTTTTTAAAGGTCTCAATGCATAGTTCAATAAATTGTGCAAGTACAGAGGAACTTTGTTCTATTTTCCTGTTTTCTCTTCATATATGTGATGTTTTGTCAGCCAGTAGCAGTTAAACAGCAGATGTGTTAAGCATATCAAACTTTGTTTTTTTATATAGCCATGTCCTTCTAATTCCTGTTGTTGTGTTCTTGTATACATCACAGTTCCCAACGAACAGCAATATTTCATGTTTTTCGCACAACAACATCACATCTCTTTATCCAGATATCCTTGACAAACATGTCCCAAGCAGTCTGATCAACACCCATCAAGCTGACAGCCGACATAGTAACTTTGCATTGTTTAGGTCACGTCGTCCCAGCAGCCCGAGGGGTCAAGGTTGCGTCTGCTGTGGGTCCGCAGCTGCGAGAGGCCTCTCCACGTTTCCCAAGACCCTCCGCTGTTGCCGACCTGTCTGGGGACACCATGCAACTCTCCTGAGTCCGCTCCCTTGGCAGTGAGCACCCGTGGGAGGCAGGGCGAGAGATAGCGTACCGCTTGAAGATCCCCACATTACCTCACCAGATAAGGCAGAGGGAGGGGATGGAGCCGAGCGGGGTGGACATTGGGCCTTTGGGTGGAGGAGAGGGCCGAACCCCTTCAAGCATTTCGAAGGAAACGCTCAGATGCTGTCATTTACACACTGGTTCGGTGGTCTCTCCGGTGGTTCTCATGGCAGAGCGAGCGCTGGAAGAGGATGTGGCACAGGAGAGGAGGGAGATGGGAGGAAAGAGTTTGCGGACGCAGAGATGGACACAACCATGCGTGAAACAGGCAACACATCGAGAGCCAAAGAAGTGGGTGAGTGAAGGAAGAAGTGGTTTGTGCTCAAAAGGATTTAAAATGTTCGGTTATAAAGAGTAATGAGACATCATGAATTGTGCATCAAAAGTGAATATCATGGCTTTTCACATATTGAAATGATTGTATGTTTTCAAAATTTGTCCCAAATTAGTTTAATTGAATGGATTTTTTTATATTAATAACTATTATTCTAAAAAATATTAACAAATATTAAATATAAATTATAAATAATGTTAATAAATGTAAAAAAAAATAATTGTACAGCTATTAAATACTTAAAACTTTTGTAACTTTTCACTTGAGATTTTTGCTGTTAATACAATGTATAATAAAAAAGTTTGTATTACAATGAAAAAGGCAGAATAGAAGCTTTTTCATTAGTGTTCTCTTTTGAACCTCATATAAAAGATTTCCAAACTACTTTATATTAAGTATATTTAAATACCATTTACTAACATTTAAATGTATAATTTTATACACTAAAAAACAGTGTGGAAACAATTTTTCACTCAGGAATTGCTAGCAAATTTCACAAATAAACAGAAAACACATTGAATTAAACATGAAATTTTGAAGTAGAAAAACTGAACTGAAATAGCATTTTCTTGTAAAATATACTCCATTCATCTTTGTTTGATTTATAACTTTGGGGGGGGGGGGTTTAAGTGTACAATGCACTTATTGTGTAGATAAAGATATTTATATTGTACTTATATTTTAAAAATACATGCACATAATTACGGCTATAATTAAAGTAAATACATCTGTAATTACACTGTTGACTTAACCCATACCACTAAACCTGTCCCTAACCTACCCATATTCCACCGCAGTAGCAGCAAAAGTGTTTTGCAATCCCACATGAACACAATACATTGTATCTAACAATTAATCTTTTTTGGATAGCACTTCATTTTACAAACCTTTTCCACATGTATTATGTACTTATTAGCAATTACTATAACTGGGTAATAACTAGTCACTAACCCTGAACCTACTCCCTAAACCTAACCTTAACCCATGTAGCTACTTTATACCAGTAAATTCTTGGGTAATTAATTACACTGTACTGTAAAATAAAGTGTAACCCTTTTTTGATATAACTAGCAGTTTGATACAACTAGTAATTGAAGATGCTTAATATAAAGTGGGACCCACCTCTAAAGGCTCACAAAACATAGTAAGAAGTTTTCCCTCATTCTTTTTTTATTGTGTTAGGTAAGGTCTGGACCGATACCTCCATCCAGGGCATGTAAGATCCAAAACTCTCCTGAGAATGCAGCGAGAGAGAGGAGTCGTGTTCGGAGGCAAAAAAAAATGCCCCAGTATGAGATTTTGTCTAATATTTATATCATAAAATAAGCAATATCACACAAGCGCTGTTTTTGTCACGAAGAACACGATTGCAAATGTGATTTTAAACAACAGTTCAGTAAATAAGAAGTTAATATTGTGTTATGTTTTAAACACAATATTTAAAGTCAAAACAAGCTTAAAAAAAATCTAGTTTCCTATTTTAATTCACCCCATTTTTTATTTAAGTTTGGTTACTAGATGTGGAAGTCATGTAAATTAATAAAATCTTGTAATTCCACAGACATTTTTATAACAAATATACAATTTCTATGCCAAAATACGTTAGTTCTTAATTCTAGTTACGCCAAGTTCTAAAACATTTTGTAGGTTTATGAGTTTATAAAAAAAGAAAAAAGAAAGTTAAATATTGTTGTGGACAGTAAGGGGCATTGGAATCAAAAAGATTGAGAATCACTGATATAGATTGTTAACACCCAATTAATAAGTTTCTTTGCTGAACCAATATATAATTTAAGAGTGTAGATGACTGAGACCACCAGAAGCAAAATACTCCAGTTTAAATTAACACTGGCTCTTTTCCAATATAATTTCAGCCATTGCATTTGCTGGTGAAAAACAAACTGAATGTGGTGTAACATTTTTGCATTTCATGCTCGAGTGCAAACTGATAATCAAGTTCTATGCCTTCTTGCCTACAAATATTAAAAACGAGCTGCTTT